GGATGGCAGGGGTAGGGGAACGGTTGGGCTTGGTGAGCTTAAAGGGCTTTTCCAACCCAAACGATTCTGTGGTTCTAAGTTCAGCAACATCTCAGCAACCTTTGCAAAGCTCGGGGAAGGTGGAAACTTTCCGCTGCTGAAAAGGCAAGACCCACTCTTCTTTTGGTGAAACCAAAGGCCGCTGTGGGAGCAGCATTGATCCTCAGCTTTCTGAGCACCTGAGAGCTGAGCCCAGCTTTGTCCCTCAGGCCAGTAGCATTCCTCTGCATGTTTATGCAGACAACGTTGGAAATGGCATTTAAACCCCCGCAGTGCCAGCATCCCTGGAAGGCAGCACAAGGCGTGGTGGGACTGGGCCATGCCACCGTGCCACAGCAATCCTCACTGCCCCAGTTGTGCCAGACCAGGTGGGCCAAGGCTTCTGTGCCCTGTGACAGGTACACCCCTGCACACCCGGCCCTGAAAGGCACCCAGCAGCCCCACTGGCTCAGGCTGGAGCTTGCTGGTCGCTGTGGTGTGGGGCCGGGCTGGCGCCCAGGCAATGCCAGAAATCACAGTTCTTGCCCCACGAGACCCCTTGCCACCCCCCAGCTATGCTGACCCCTACCTTACCCTGCCCCTGGGCAGCAGAGCCAAAGAAACACCCGCACAGCGACACCGTCACTCATTAAAGGTTTGGTTTTATTTCTGGTTTAAAATCAAAATTAGTTGTTCTCTGTAATTACATTATATATAGATTTATAGAGACATTATAGAAAAGAATTTTTTGCTTTTGTTTTTCTGCAAAAATCTGTAAATAAAAAATAAAATAGAACAAACAAACAAAAAAAAATAAAGGTGGCAGCTTCTGTCCATCCGTCTGTCCGTCCCTCTGATGCTCCTCCTGCCCCTGCCCTCCACGGCGCTTCCCAACAGACTGGGAAAGGCTCTGGGCTGGGGCCACATCTCACCACGCTCCCTACAGCCACAGCTGGGGAGGGACAGGAGCACGTGGAGCTGGAAAGAAGAAACGCCAGCAGAATATATTAATATCTCATATTTCATTTTATTTAAGTCCTGGGGACTCCGGGTGGCAAAGGGCAGCAGTCCCCACGGCCCAGGCAACTCCTGGAAAGAAACGGCGTGGTTTCCAAAGTGCGGGTCCTCCCGGGACGGGGCATGTGCCCTCGAGCGAGAGGAAGGCGAGAGGAGGCAGAGAATTCCGGAACATCTCCCTGCCGCTGCGGTCCCAGCAGCTGCGGCTGACGAGGGGGGTGGGAAGGGTGGGCTGCCCGTGTGTTTTAAATAGCAATCGGAGGGTGGGATGTGCAGCGAGCCCCGCCCTGCCCAGGGGTGCGTATGTGGCACCCCCGCGGGGCTGGGGGCATGGGGAAGCGGTGCTCCGTAAGGCAGTGTGCGGCCGCGGCGAGCTGCCGGCGGGGGGGAAACTGGGGGGGGCGGCCAAGAGCGGGGGGCCGGTGCGCGGATTTACCATCTTCCCCTGCAAGTACACGCTGCGGTCAGAGAACTGAACGACAGAAGCTCTGTTGCCCGCCCATCCCTAGCCACCTTCCCCAGCTTCTCCAGGGAAACGTGGCTAACACATGCTATGGCCAGAGAGTGGAGACCCCTCTTGTCCTACTTAGCACACCCTTGGGCAAGTCCCAGCCAGGATCCAGCCCAAAAAGCCCCCAGAGCTCCTGATTCACATGTTGCAAATCCTGTCCGTCGGCTGCCTGCTGTACCCCTGCCCACGCAGGGCAGGATCCCCCACATTTGGGCTGCAGGAGTGCTGGCTTGTGGAGAGCCCAGCTCAGGGCAAAAGGGGCCAGGGCTCGGGGCTGTGCCAGCTCTGGCATCTCAAAACAGCTGTGCACATCTGCATGCACAGGTGGCTTCCCCAGGACCCCGGGCACACCCATGCTACAAGCTGGCTCCGAGATCTTTGCACGGCACCCCCGCACACAAATCCGCCCACGGGGCGGCCATCCCCAGCAAGAGGTGGTGACATGGACGATCTGCTGGGACATGGGACACGAGGCATCTACATGTGCCAGGGTGACATGGGGATGGGCTCTATGAACAACCAGGACACACAGACTCCAAAACATGACATGGCTGACAGGCTCTAAGACAGAGACGTTCGTGAGCAAAGCGGCAGGAGTGGGGACAGGGCGGGGGGACAAGGACGGCTCACGTGTCCCAACCTGTGCAGCAGCTGCCGCGATCTGGAGGCCTAGAAACCCACTCAGATGGTTCTCTCAGTGCCATCTAGCAAATAATAAATAACAACCAGGCTTAGCGCTCTGTGGCCACAGGACGCCTGGGCCTCGCTGCCCACTGCCAGCTTGCTCTTGCCTGGCAGAGCTTGGGGCATGATGAGCCAGAGCGCGCGGGGTAGGCAGGGACCAGCCCGGGACCCGCGGGCACTGCTGGCCCCAGGAGATGCCGCTTGGGATGCTGTGGGTGGGGAAGGAGCAGGCTGGAGCAGCGGGACACTCACCGCACAGCATCAGGCTCTGCTTGGCTGCCTCCCGCACGGGCTCCTTGTCGGTTTGGCACAGGTAAACCAGCTGCTCGATGCTCTCCTTGGCCTGCAGGGCAAGGGACGAAGGGCTGAGCGGGGCTGGCAGCAGGGACACAGCCCGGTGGGGAAGGCAGCGCAGGGCGCTGCAGACCCATGGTGCAGGAAAGTCCCTTGTCCTGTCCCTTCCCTCCCTGTTTCCCTTCCCGCCCTGCCCCTGCCTGCTTCTCTGGCACATTTGGGGCCCCCCCAGCTCCTCTCTCCCAGGCTCCGCAGGTGTGTCCAGACTCGCCGGCCACATGCAATTCCTCTTCCTCTGGAAGTTGCAGCTCTGCTGCTTCCTCCCCGCGTCCCTCTCACCTTCAGGCAGCCAAGCACCGCGCACCCTGCCACCCGTGTCTGCACCTCCTCATCCTCCAGCTGCTCCAGGTAGCACACGAGGGCCTGGGGGGAGATGGAGGGGTCAGTGCCACTGCCTGTGGCAGAGCCAGGGGGCAGCACCCCAGGGGCTGTGGCACCGGCCCACCTTGCCCCTGGCTCGCCTGGCACGTACCCGTTGGCGGAAGCGAGGGTTTTCCGCCAGACTGCGGAGCTGGGCCGACACGGCGCTCGCCACCTTGCTGTTGCCCTCCACCAGGAGCAGGCTGAGTGCCTTCAGTCCCTCCTTCTTCAGGCGGCTCTCAGGCACGCGCTTCAGGGCACGCAGCACCACGTCCTGGTCGTCAGAGTTGAGGTTCTGTGCCAGCAGCGCTGCAGGCAACCACCAGCTGAGCCAAGGTGCAGGGAGCCTGGCGGCGCTGCCCAAGCACCCCTGCTGCTGCAAGGGACCCATCCCCGGGCACCCTGCACCCGCCCCGGGCAGAGGTGACCCCGCACAGGGTGGCAACATATGGAGCTGCTGGGGCAGCCAAGCCAAGATGGACCAAGGACCAGGGAGCCACTGGGACCCCGGAGCTCCAGGGCATGCGTGGCTGGGCCTGGGGGACCAGGGACCAGCCAAGCAAGGACCCAGGGTGCTTGGGAAAGCAGCATGGGAGCAGGCTGTGCACCGGATCAGACCTACTTGCCCACCCCAAGAATGGCCGAGCCTCTGGGTGACACCCCAGGATGGTCATGGCAGTGCTGCAGGATGATCCCCCATGGTGATGCTCCGGCACCACATGCCAGGGTCTAAGGAGGGCGGGAGGGCACTCACCTTCCTCTGCCAGCTCCATCATGTAGGTGTCTAGTACCAGGGCACTGAGTGACTCAAAGTGGCTCCAAAACTGGAAGATGGTGACCTGCTCGCCCTGGGCGCTGCCGGGCCGCCGGGGCAGCCGTCGATTCAGCACATCCTCCACCAGTTTCACACACACTGCAGGAAAAGGCCAGGATTGGGGCATGCAGCAGCTGTGGCCGCCCCCTTGCAGGGGTGCTGGGCCCCCACTCATGATCACTGAGTGGGGCTGGCAACTCTCTCCCCAGGGCGCTTGCTCACCGGCATCAGCCAGGCCAGGGTGCCGTTCGCTGATGGGTGCTGCGTACTGGGCGCTGAGCACCTGCAGGAACCGCTCCACAGGGCAAGTGTAGACGTTGGGCACCTCCACACAGCAGTCCCAAAGGGGCAGGACACCCTCCTTCCGCGTCGAGAACTGCACCACTATGGGGACAGGGGCTGTCAAGCCTCCCCAGCCATGCCCATGAAGGGACACCAGGCCCCACACAGCCCCCGGGGTGGCATGGACGGTCCCCTCGGCTGCGTGTCTTTACCGTCAGCAGCAGAGCCGGCTGCTCCCGCTCGCTCCTCTGTCAGCTGGCACACGATCTCCAGCACCTGCGCCTCCCGCAGCAGCCTGTCCAGGGCATACATCTCCTGGCACCGCAGGGGACCGAAGGTGCCCAGCTTCTGCAAGGCACAGCCAAACCAGGGACCTCAGGGACTGAGCTCACCGCCCACACCACAGCCTCCACACTGCGGCAAGACACCCCTCAAAGGGGGACCCACAGCCCAGTTTCCCAGGACGCCTCCTGCCACTGTGCCCCAGCCCCATCCTCACCAGCAGCAAGTGGTTGCAGTTGTTGAGGTGAAGCACCAGGGCCTTATCCAGGAACTCGTTGCCTGTGCTCATGGGGTCGGTGCTGGCCTCGGAGCCGCTGCACATGCCGGTGTCATCTGCCCCCATCTCGCCAGCGCTGGGAGCCCTGCTGCCGCGCCGGGGTCTGCCAGCCCTCCTGCAAGCCAGGGAGAGACCGAGCAATTGGGTCAGCACAGCAAACCTGGACCCGACCCTTCCCCACCCACAGGGGCAACACTGAGCAGTTTCTGTAGGACCTACAGTATCACCGCAGCAGGGCTGGGTGAAGGAGCCCCTGTCCCAGGGGCACAGGGCATGAAGCCCCCCCTGGAGAGATGCAGGGTGGCACTGTGCCACCAGAAGGGCCAGATCCTGCTGCTTCTGGTCCTGGATCTGCCCTGAGCTGTGATGGGCCGGTCTAAATGTACTTGGGCAGAGCTGGGCACCCCCCATTCCAACTGCCACAGGGCCACGTCCTGCCCCGCACCCCATCCCATGAGCCCCGCTGTGCACCTCTCATCTTGGAAAGGCTCCTCCTCGGAGCCCTCTGAGTCCTCCATGTCGGAGGTGTTGAGGAAGCTGAAGCTCTCCAGCGCGTGCTCCACTGTCAGGCTGATGCTGGAGGCCCGGCTGAGGAAGATGCCCTGCTTCTGCTGCGGAGGAAGGCACAGCAGGGTCGGATCTTGGCTCACCGGTCAAGACAGCCCCATCCCCATTGCCCCCAGGCACTGCCAACAGGGACAGCCCCATCCCCATCATCCCTGGCACTGCCATCAGGGATGGCCCCATCCCCACTGTCCTTGGGCACTGCCATCAGGAATGGCCCCGTCCCCCTCATCCCTGGGCACTGCTAGCAGCCCCTCACCAGCAGAATCTCCTCCAGGCGCTTGAGCTCCCGTTCGAGGGGCTGCAGCTCTGGGAACTGCCCCCGATAGTCGTCCAGGGCTGAGCCCAGGAGACTGATGGCCTCCTCCAGACCCGAATCCACCACCTTCCCCCGTGGCACCTCGGGGACGCCAGCAGGCAGCGGCAGGGCTGGGATGGGCCTCTCCTCCATGGAGGCTTGTGCCACTGCCGCGGGGACCCCAGTGACGCAGCCACCCTGTGCCGGCGCCTGGCTCTGCACCGGCTCCGCCCCACCCGCCCCCCCCCGGCCAGGGGGGGAAAAATGGGGAGGGGGTCCACATCCCGTTCGCCCATCCCTGTGTCCTCCGGGCTGGGTGCGGGCTCCCAGGGGCTCTCTGCAGCCTTGGCCTCCATCGTGGCATCCACGCTGGCCTCACTGATGTGACTCAGAGTCCGGGAGTAGGGCACATGCCCGTTGGCCACCGCCTCCTTCTTGCGGCTGCTGGGCTGCTCTGGCTGGCTCCTGGTGGGGGGCACCCCGCTGCCGCCGGCCCCGGGCCTGGCCTCAGCCTCCTCTGGCTGCTGGGAGAAGGAGATCTCGATGGCTGGGGCAGAGGCCTGCACCTCGGGCTGCACGATGGGCTTGTGTGCAGCATGGCGGGCGCTGCCGGAGAGCTGGGGGCTGGAGGAGTCGTCCGAGGACTCGGAGGAGATGGACCAGGCTGTGCCGTTCTCCAGCTCCTCCTGGCGCCGTAGCATGTTCTGGGGGAGGGGGGGAAAACAGTGTCAGACAAGACCCTCCTGCTGACCCTGCTCCTCCGTCTGCCTTTCCTTCAACCGGCGGCAGGATCCAGCTGAGCCAGAGGGCACCGAGACCGCCAAAGCCCCCAGTGCAGGCTGCCACGCCGTCCCATCTCTGCCACCACAGCAGGGTGGGCAGTGAGGACCCAGCAGAGCATGGCTGCCTCTTCCAGCCCTACACCCCACGCCATGCCGGCAGGGAGTCTGGCTGCCCAGGCCCAGCCACGCACGTCCTGGAGCTCCAGGGTCCCAGTGGCTCCCTGGCACAGCGGGCAGCTCCAGCATGGCCACGATGGGGTGCAACACCGTGGAGCCGAGGATGCCATGGCTGCAAGGACGGCACCAGCTCCAGCAACAGCTCATGGGGGGCAGCACCTGGTGCACCCATCGCACCGACGTCATGCCAGTGGTTCACCATCACTGAAGCAGTACCACGCCAATGCCATGTTAGCGTCACACCTGCACCATGACGGCATCACACCAGCATCACGCCAATGCCACAGCACAGCACACTAACGTCACCAGTGCAGGGACATGGACAAGCCTTCTACTCACTAGCGCACGGCTCTTGCACGAGGGTGTGCGGACACAGGAGCGGGGCTGGCTCGTGCCGCCCGGGCTGCCCCAGCTTGGAGATTGTCTCCCCAGGGCCAGCCAGACCCTAGTCTGGCAGGATCAGGCCGCCGGGCATCAGTGAGCGCGGGTGAGCAGGGACCAGGGAGCGGCTATGGCTCCTGCGGGATGGCCACGCTGCTGGGCTAAGCTACTGGCCGGCTCCAGCCCTCACACTTACGCGGCCCTGCTGTGGCCATCTCCCAAGCTCGGCCGAGGAGACATCGCCGCAGGAGCAGCTCTGAGACAGCTTCTCGAAGAGTGTCTCCCGAAAGATGTCCAGCAAGGACCAACCATGCTTGTCGTCCTCCCGCCCCAGGCTCTTGGGCAGAGAGAAGAGGAGCTGTGAGCATGGGAGGAGCAGGCGCCAGTACTGGGGAGCCATGGCTGGAGAGGAGCTGCCCACCCCTGCACCCGAGCCATGCCACCCTCTGCACATCCCTGCGCGGACCCCTCCTCAGGCCACTGCTCCTGAGCAGCCCTGCCTGGTGCCACACTTACATAGAAAGCCTGTTCCCGCAGGGACGGCGTGTCAGGCGGGCTCTGGTTGTAGGTGGAGAACCTCTTGTTCACTGTGGAGGCCTTGTTGACAGTGCTGGCTGCTGAGGGCTGGTCATCCTTGTCGAAGGGGCTGGGGAGGACAGCAGGGACGTGAGGGGGGTGTGCCAGCTGCGGGGGCTCTCGACCCTGCTTGTGCTACAGGCGTCAGGAAGAGGGGCTGGGAAGCTGCCCAGCAGAAAAGGACCTGGGGGTGTTGGTCAACAGGCGGCTGAATATGAGCCAGCAGTGTGCCCAGGTGGCCAGGAGGGCCAGCAGCATCCTGGCTTGTATCAGGACTGGTGTGGCCAGCAAGAGCAGGGCAGTGACCGTGCCCCTGTGCTGGGCACTGGTGAGGCCGCCCCTGGAATGCTGGGGTCAGGGGTGGGCTCCTGACTCCCAGAAGGACCTAGAGGGGCTGGAGCGTGTCCAGAGAAGGGCAAGGAAGGTGGGGAGGGGTGTGGAGCCCCAGGCTGCTGGGG